TTCCAAATACAATTTGCAGTCCCTTCCCAGGTTCCTTTTAAGTTTGTCGCACCGAAAATCGCACTGAAAAGGCCAAATTCCTTTCACTGACAAACAACCTTATCCGACTTACAGTACTTTTCCTACACAATCTAATTTGTGGTGTTCCGATTTCCCCATTTCGCAATCCCCTTACCGATTACCCGTTTTGTAAGAATGAAAATTGTAACAGATGCGTGAGCACATTTCCTCATTGTATGCAAAATATAAACAAATTTGTAGACTTTGTAGAATAACAATACTAACAATACGTCAATCTTTGTCAATTAACCACATGACCCAAATTTGGAATGTTGGAATGGAATGGAATGAAGAGACGACTACGTACTGTACATACGTACATATGTAAAAAAGCGAAAACTGCAACCGACTCTCGGACGCTGACGCCAATTGGATTCCATTGACCTAATCAGACACAGACACGGAGACGGTGTGACGGGTGATGGGTGATGGAGACTGAGACTGGGACTGGGACAGCCACAAAGCGTAGTTGCAGTATGTAAGTAAGTAGCTGTCCCCCGTCCCAGTCCCAATCCCAGTCTCTGTGCCCAGTAACAAAAACAACAACAATTAAGTGGCGTACACAAAATAAGCATGAAAACCTGAAAATACCAGCACATTTTTGGGGAGGTTGTGGAGGAGAGTGTTTTGCTGGAGTCTTTTGCGCATGCGCAAAACGGCAGAATTGCATAAGACGTGGTGGGGTCCGTCCGATGGTCGGGCTGGTAACCGAAAGCGAAATGCAACCCGCCCAAGTCATGGCACATCAGTTGGGTGTGACCAAGAAGGCAAAAATGGTTGCTGGACTGTGAACTGGATTGTGCATAAGACAGGCAGATGATTTTTTGGGGTATTAGATTGAGCGGAGATGTTTTCAAAGAACTAATCGTATAGATCAAGGTTGGGATCTAGTTTCTGTTCTCAGTTGGATGGCAATCCCATCTTTTGAAAGCACTCACATGCCTGTGATTTGCATTGAACGTATGGGGAAACACCTTAACTATAAAGTCTACACAATATTTTAAATATGAAGTTCTATCGAAATGAATGACTAGATCAGCCTCGTAATAATTACCAAACAATATTAAGGAACACTATCTGTGTCCTAGCCATTCTCTACATTACAGTTTACCCATTAAAATACAGATCTGTTACAGAAACTCGAATATCTTATGGTTAGTCGTATCATAGCATTGTAATTCAAGTGATTTGCATGCTCTTGCATCATATAATTTCCCCGTTTCGTACGGTTATGGAAATCGTACAAGTCCAGTCAAGTCTTTGGCTTTAAAGCGGCTGATGATGATCAGTCACAACGGCAGCCAATACAATGACTTGGCCAAAAAGCAAAGGGCGGCAAGAAACACACACACACATTGAAAATGCCTGTGCCGCATTAGTGGCAATATCAAGTCCAAAACTTACATCACCAAAGGGGCAAGCGCGGCTGCAAGAGGCAAGTGGCTACGGCGTCACTGCCGGTTATCCAATTAAAAGCAAAGATCAGGGATCTTTTTGCAACCAAACTGGGACGAACGAACGTATGGACCAACTAGCCACCGCATGACGATTGGCAAAAGCAGAGCTTTTTTTCCACCTCGCAGCACGCGACATCTAGGAAATGACTGGCCACATGACAACCCAACTGCAACTTCAACAGAGAAATAGAAACTGCCACAGACGGAGTCGATGTCAGAGACTGAACGACGGAACCAGCAGTCAGCTGACTTGGCCAACAAGTTGTCCCGGTGCTTGGGCCTGGTACTGGGCTACTCACTCCGAAAAGCCGGTCATTTAGGCGTGGACTGGACTGGGGACTTGGGAGAGCTCTTGGGGGAACATGCGTGTGCCTGTGTGTGTGTAGTGCGTGACAGGCGGAAACTTGTTATATTATATGCACGCCACAATTATGTAATGATCATCGTAATAATAATTTAAGTCGAGCAAGTGAAAATGGTATTGTGCTCTCAACTGAAGTCTTCATCTGCCTCGTTCAAGGTGTCTGACCCGTCGACTCATCTGGTCGGTGGCCATTTTCGTCGTGGGTCTCACAATGCTGACCGAGGCACGTCCGCAGAATCAGCGGGATCTCCAGCACATTGCCGTCGTGGAGAATGCCGCTTGGGAGCAGACCCTGCCACAACAGTTCCAGAATCCTTTCTACAAGACACCCAGAGTCCGGGATGCTCTAGCCAGATCCAGTTGGTTTGGACCTGGCGAAGAGGTGGTACGTTTCATCAACTATAAACACACATATGGAATCTTGGTCTCTCAAATGAGTGGAATTTTGTTTCTTTTAGGTGTACGATCGTCAGGCTGAGAAAATTCCGCGTATGGAAATCTACAATGTGTTATCCCATGCCGGTCTGATACCACGTCGGCGTTTCTTTTAAATATTTTGCATTTATCAAATGTTATGTTATGTACACCAATATGAAAATATAAAATCGCAGTCATTAGTTTAGGAACAAAAAGGATCAAAAGCTGAACAATTTAATGGGCGATAAAAGCTTTATTGCAGATGATCCTATAATGGGCAGCATCTTATATTATTTTCATATGTATGATTGCTGCATATTCTTCTAGTAAAATGTGTGTGTTTAACCACTAGGAAAACGGTAAGCAATATTATAAAAGCCTGAACCCTGAAATTTCTCCCAACCCACCTGAAAGTAAGACAAAAAAATTGTAAGTACAAAATTCCATTGTGCACAATTGACTTTTGTATTAAATCAATAATCGTTTTGCCCTAAAGCTCAATGTCTTATATAAAATATAGAAAAAAATATAGGATCATATTTCTTTTAAAACAACTACATAGGGATTTTGTCTACATAGATAAAATCAATTGTTTTTTCAAGCCCGTGATGAGCTTCAATCGATGGTCCAGAGCTTGTTGGTCTACCACATCCGTACTGAGGGGCTGATGCTCCTCCTCCAGCACAGAATTTCGCTCCAGCAAGGCTTTACGTATCCCTAGAGTGGCTTCGTGTTGCTCATCATTCTCATCTTCTGCGTCACTGTCTTCGTGGGACAGTCCATTGCCATTCGTGGTGCCACCATTGGTGTCCGCTTCCGCTGCAGCAGCGTTAACCCGCGAAGTCGCATCCGCCGGAATCAGTAGCGACTTGACAAACTCTCCGCAGATCAGGCTCATGGAGGGCATAGTGTGGGCGGACAGATTGACAAACTGTAATAGATAAATGAACATTAATTGGCATTGACCTTGCTGAAGTTCACAACAAGGTGTGTCTGTGTGTGTTAGAGGTGTGCGATATTATTATTTTTCGGTTGTTTTCGGGTGTCGAGATTGCGGTTCAAGTTCAGTCGTAGTCCCAGTCCCAGCACCCAACACCAAAGCCTCGCTCGACAATGTTAATCACATGATTATTGTACCTCTCAATAGAGGGTAACATGATTTTGTGAATATTTTTGTAATGGCAAGGCGGAAGTGTGTACGAGATAACAGAAATAAATGGAACGATCAGCCGTAGGTGAGGATGTGAGGATGATAATATTCATGATAATTTTTACTTCCGCTTTTACTGAAACCTACCAGCATTGGATATTCTAAAGGGTATGTAACTCTTCGACTTGAAATCAGTACCTTCCCTTCTTGTAGTTATTTTCCGTTTGTCATTCATTGCCTGGGGTTTGTGCGGGGCATTAATAAACTGCTCAAGCCCTCGAGTGGATTGCCTATTAACCTTCGCGCATGCGCTTGGCCATCCACTTGGCCATTGCTGCTCCATTTTAATGCAAAAATTGTTTAAACAAAAACAATCGACGTGCAAACATTTGACCGAATGTCAATTGTAATCGTTTAAGTGACACGATTGCAAAATACATCTTGTTGTTTTCCTCAGAAAATTAATTAAAGAATAACTTGGCAGGAAGCAAACAATCATTTGTGACTCAATACATGAATCGCCTACGACGATAACCGAGTATACAAATTGAGCTGACTTTCAGCTTTCCGCAAGCTCGAACCGACTCAAACCAGAATAAACTCTGGGAAAAATTATGGTAATGGATAAATGCAATTAAGACTAGTGCTGGGCCCGCACACAAGTAATTATTATTACACCTAGCAACACACTGGCGGAAACTTACGCAATCCAGAAAAGTACAAATTTTGCCCAGTAAAATACAGAAAAGAAAAGAAAAGTGTCAAAAGCACGCAACGGCTATGACAGGCTTCTGCCCTACGCATAAACAACAAATTGAGTAACAATGTCGGAGAGAGTGGAGTACAAGGAGAGAGAGAGAGAGGAAGAGCGTCACTCAATGCACAGTGGTTGTATGAAAACTACATATATGGAATGTTCTTTATAAGAGTAAAATGCTGACTCAAAACTATACTTCTTCTCAGAAGTAAATCATCAAAAATATATGTAAATAAATGAATAATTAATTATTTTTATTTTAAGCCCTAAGTTCTCTTAGAGCACTATGTCAACTATTGGCACCACTGTCCAAAAGGGGGGCTTGACTGCCCGACTGTGCTGCACTTCCAATTCACAATAGCCGCCGCCAGCCGAAGCTTAAGAGAAAGGAACAGCCACTAAAGAGCGAGCGCCATCGCTCAAACAATAACAAAACGAACTTTACGAGCCACGAGCTGGGCTTTCGTTCCGTTAGAATTATGAGGGCGAAGCACGCACGAAGTGGCTGGCCTGGTGCTCGTGCCCGGCTGCCGCCGAGTATAAATGGCGAAGTGCTTTGCCGACAAATTTACACTTTACCGTTTTATTCCGCACAAACAACAAGCAGACCGGAGCAAGCCCGGCAGAGAAAGAGCGGAAGCGCGTGCCGCTAAAGTTTACGGAAATAAAATTGAACACAAAAAAAGTTCAAAGCACAAGCCCCCCCAAGAATCTTGTTTGTCCTCCTCATCGTCAACTGCAGCAGCTGACAATAACGCGTTGAATCTTATTAAACAATTTACGATTCAATTAAACAACAATTTACAGTGTACATTTTACACCAAGTAGAGAGAAAGTGAGTGGTGGAGTGTGAAATAGAGCCAAAGAACAGAGAAGGAGGAGTCACCCAAAAATAAACGTCGAAAATGTGGCCCAACTTTTTTGCTGTCATTTCCATTCTGTGCCTGGCCCTTGTCGCCATCGCCCATTCTGGACCCGTGCCAATTGTGAATGAGGTGAGCGAAAGGGGAAAGAAGGAGTCAAAGGAGTTGTGGTGGATAGAGATAAGGGAGTAGAGCCAATGGCAAAGAAAGCAAAAAGAGTGCAGTAAAAAAGTGGAATATATTTTGGGAATGGTACAAAAATAAAAGAGTACAAAAGAGGACACCAATTCGAAGAATATAAGAAAGAAAGACAGCAGGGTTCATACATTTAGTAGAAGCAAACTATGGAATATTTTTGGGGCAATGACTTCACGGATATTTTCCTGCGTGGGCGGGAAATGCAACCCAATGCGCGGCAAGCGCGGAAGTGCAACCGCCCGCTAATAAATAGTGGGCGGTGTACATTTTCTCAAGATATAAACTGCAGTCTTAATTAAAAGATTGCTTTCTAATTAAAACATGAGACATAATAAACAAGAATTAAAGAGTAACTTTAAACATTTAAGCTACATATAGGACATTTCCGCCCGATTGTGATGTAATTTCTATCTTTATGATTAGCAAAATAATAATCAAGTAGTAGACATTTATAAGAATTACATGATAGAGCTATCCGGAACAATACATTTCTAAATCCAGAAATAAGAGGATCTGTGCAAAGGTTCAAACAGACTGCTATAATTGATAGATAACTGCGCAACTTTAAGGTGGCATAGAAACAAACAGAGATGTCTTTATCGGCTGCACAGTTGCTGTTGGTTCAAGGAAATTTCCTCTCCGTATAGTCGAAACACTTAGAATACATTTAATACGGCACCTGCCTTAAGTAGAACACCCTCTTCAAAGGGTATTATAACATAATCATTGAGCACGTTTACGTCGTGTGATGTTAATTTATGTAACTATATATAGACGGGCATGAAGTAGACAAAATCTATAGTACAGAGAACAGATTATTCGAAATTTCCGAGTGTTGTGGATCAACCTTATCAATGTCTCTCTCTGTCTCTGCAGACTTGAACTTTGATAGAATAAACAAAGTGATTAATAATTATATAAATATAACAACTGATTTTTGGATGGATGGATGATAATAGGAAAAAGTGATCAAAGAACAACAACAACAAAAAGTGAGGAATACCCCCTAAACAAGAGGCAAGAGGTTCTCAGATGAGTATACAGGAAATATTTATAATGTAATCTCTTCAACATGTGCGTTTAATATCCAAGACACGAGACTACATAAATCGCATATTATTCAGTTGCTAGGCTACTGAATGATTATTGCGCATGATTTACAAAAATTCCTTAGAAAAAAACCAATTGAAAGGCGCGTCCAAAAATAAAACCCACTTTCGGGTAAATGTCGTTATAAATCTCAATGGACATTATTCAAATTGAGTGTCCAGCCGACACAAAAGATCATCCCATAACAGAAAGATTAAAGGGTGCCCCCGTAGGGGAGAACAAAGAAGGAAAAGTAGGCAACATTGCAAAAATATTTAAATAGAGATGTTCCAAAAGTAGATCACAAAAACTATGACAGTCAAATAGTTATAAAAGCATCTGTTAAAGATATTCAAAAAATATGCATTTTCTGTGCTTCCACAAGTCATATAAATAAATCTCTTATTTGCAGCACCAGCAACTGATGCCCAAGGTGCCCCAATGGCATTGTCTGCGCTACTTCAAGCACGACGTCTTGATGATGCGTCGCTGTCGCCATTTGCGTGTACCAACGGCGCCACGGCTTGGCGATGTCGTCAAGCGGAAGAAGAAGTAATCGGCATCGATCCAATAAAAGACAATCATCGTCAATTCTATATAAACGACTGAGCAATTGCTAAAAAATATAGCCACAAAAAGATTTGTATACCCAGACCAAAGTTAAACCATTACTCAAAACATATACGATAAACTACTTACAATTAACTAACGATAAGTCTAACCAATTGTACTTCATAGACGCGTAAGGTTTCAAATAAACACAATAACAAATGATGTTCTCGTAAGCCAATCTGGCCTGCGCCCTGTGCTTCCCTTGATGCTCGGACCCCGCTTTCTACACGGACATCCGCATCCAATGACAAAATACACAGTCTATGGCGATGGTAACAAGTCGACCCCGTGTAACCCTCTATTTGAAACCCAACCACAGAAAAGTTTTTGTTGCCTCATGCCACATATGGTAATGGTATAATTTTTGTTTAAGCGAAAAACTTACCGCACTGACAGCACTATGCTCGCCCCGACCCACTATCAGAGGTCCACCACTCGAGTTCTCGAGCGCCTCCAGTTCCTTCTTCTGTTGCCGCACATGAATGCCAAAGGTGGCATGCGTGAGCAGGTTCTCGTTGACGGCGGGCGTCGGGGCAAAGCTGATCGGAGCTGGAGCATCATCCGATGGACTCTGGCCGGGCCTCGCGAGGTAGGCAATCTCCTGTGTGTGTGTGAGCATCAGGAGCGTAGACTGCGCCTGCCAGTCCAGATTAATGGAGTTTTGTTTGGGTTGACGGCGTGGCAGCCAGGCCAGGCCATGGGTCTTGGGCAGATTCCTGCGCTGATACAACGGCAGCGGCACATTCGGCTGGAAGACATGCACTGCAAAGAACAATTGATTATATCTCTTGGTTATGTCTCTCTTCCGAATCACAACTCACATTCGTCATTCCTTGTGATGACGGCCATTAGATTCGTCAGTGGATCAAAGGCCAATTGACGCACGGAAAGCTTGAGTCCCGCCTGAAGGCGCAGCGTCAGCAGGTTCCAGATCAACACTCGCGACTCGGTGCACACTGCTACCAAATGGCCCTGAGAGCCGGCACCAAATTGCACATGCGATATCTGCGCCAGCCCGTGCATGGGCGCCGCCTTGGTAGGAATTTTCTTGGGTGCTGTGGCTTGTAGATGCCTCCGCTTGGCCGGCGGCTGTTTCGATGTTGTGTTGTCGTCCAGTTTAAGGATGCTGAACAGAGCCATGACATCCGTATGCACCAGATCCTCATACCTCTGTCGCCGTTTGCCTAGCTGATCCAACCGATGCTTGGCCTTGTAGCGATGTCGAGTGTGCAGGCGATGCAGACGTGCATCCAATTTCCTGAGACGCACTCTGGCTGCCTCTGGTCGCACCACACACCGCTGCAGATGCTCCATCAGCTGCTTCTGAAAGGCGAGGGGCACACTGCACTCGATGCCAAAGCGTCGCAGCAGCTGCAACTTCTGGTGGAGGGACAGCTCGGACATTTTCATAATGTATTTGTATACCGACTCTTTGCTGGCAGCCTCTGGCTCCTTTATCTGCTGTCCCTTCACTGGGGGACCCACAATCATATCCTTGGCCTTCTCCACCAATGTTTGGTCGTCACTGCTGCTCAAGGTCTTCAGGATAGCCCACAGCTGCTGCCGCTGTTGGATGAGCTCCTTGCGGGCACCATTTAGCGTTGTTTTGGTTAGACGTAACTGCGCCTTGGACACTACCCCATCTAGACCGGGCGGACAGCTGAGAGAGTGTAGCGGCAGGCTTGGATTCCTCGCATCGTACAGCGCCAAAATGTTGCCATAGCCCACAGCCAGCAGAGAACCGTCCTGGGAGAAGCATATGGCTCCAATGGGCAGATTCCTGTAGCTCGTCTGGGCCAAGCAACTCCACATAATGCCGCGCCTGTAAATGTTCTCCGAATCGGTGATGCCCCACACTTTGATAACATTATCCTCGCCTGCAGTGGCGCAACGCAAATTGTCTACTTGGAATTGATTGGAGAAGATGATGTCCTTAAAGCCCTGCTCATGCGGCAGATTAATTTCCGTGTTCAAAATATAGCTATAAATATTTGTGTGTTTAGTGAAGGTAATGAATATTTCTTTTTTCGATTCTGCGTACCTCTGTAGCTTTTCATTGTATTCCCAGAACTTGAGTCGCACTTCAGAAAAGTTCTCCAAGTCATTGTACACCTCGCCAGTGGCCATCCAATTGATGTTGAAGGCGGCACGAGTCACACGGGTATTGTACACAATCAGGCCATCCTCATGGCTGTGTATGTTATTGTCCACCACACGAAGCTATCAAAAAAGCAATTAAAATTTATAAACTCATCAAAAGGGAAGCCACAAACTCACATTGTAAAGCAAATTTTTGGTGTATGCCGAATAGAACTGCAAGTGTCCTCCCCTGCCATTGAGTACCAGCGTATTGGTACGTGGATTCAGACGCAAACCCAAGGGGAACTTGCTCCTGCCCGTCTGATCCTTTACGTCGTAGGTAAAATGCTGCACCGTAGACTTGATGGCGCTATTGCTGCCTCCCAGCAGCTGTATGGCATTGTCCTCGGTGCACACGAGCACATTCTCATTGTCAGCGCTCACCACAATGTGCCGTATGGCACTGGCCATCCGCGGCAAGTACTTGCGCTCCTCAGGCCTGTCCAGGGGCCACTTGACCATCACAGTCTCATGGCCACCGCTGTAGAGGGTCGCCCCAGATGGGGAAAAGGCCAGGCTGGTCACCTCCGTGTGATGCCAATGGAACAGTGCATTGGTCATTGCTTCTCGCTGCTCAAACTGCCGCCACAGAAAGATGCGTCCCATTGCGTCAGCGGTGGCCACCACCTCCTCACTGGGACTCATGCGCACACACGTAATGAGACTCTGGTTGGCATTCTTGTAGCGACAGAAGTTCCAGGTTTCATAGTTGATGAAATACACATAGAAACCCTGGGCCAAAATGATGTACTTGAACTCACCCTTGCCCACATCCACCACAGGTGTACGCAGCCTACAAAAAGGGCGCAAATTAGAAATACATTTTAACCGACTTTTAACCAAAAACTCACTTCAATTTAAGGCCACACTTGACCTCAAGCTTCTCTCCATTGTTTGTGTTGACCACAAACCAATCAATCTGCTTGCCACTCTTCCGCCTGACCGTCACAAAGGCGCAGGCGGTGTCGCCGCCCTTGTACAGATTCATCAGGTTGCAGGTTAAAATCTGCAAATCTCCCAGTTTTAGGGACACCGATTTCTTCAGTACGCCTGCCCGCCAATTCCAGCGCAATAGCTGGCCAGTGCTGGTGCAGCCCAAAAGCAGCTCTGGCTGCTTCTGGTCCAGCTCCAGGCTAATCAGGGGCGCCGTGGCATCGTCAAGGACCCGGGTTAGCTCACCCGTGCTGGTCACATATACCTGGACCTTTGAGCCGCATCGCACAAATATGAATCTAAAGGAAAATGGGTGGTAAGAACTTGAATGCTTTTTTTTATGTCTTTTACTAACCTTCCTTCTGGTGAAAAGACGGGCGGATGTTCCACAATGTTGCCGCCAGCCAAATACTGCAGCTCTAGGTGATCTTCCTCGTCAAAATTCATGGCTGTCTGGCGATGTTAGATTTGCTGGCCGTCTCTTTAGTGCTTGAGCACTTGAAATGCAGTTTAAATATGCTTGTTTTATGCAATTATAGCTACTTTTTCTGAATTATTTCCCAACAAAAATTCCATCACAGCCAATGCACGTGTAGCGGATTTGATTTCAGTGTGGTAAAGCGCTGGCCTGCAGCTGTTACCATCTTAAAAGTGGTGCTGTAAATTGTTTTTTAATACTGCAGCCCTGGAAATACTCTGAAGTACTGGCTACAGGGAGACCGTGAAAGGTATATTAGTTATATGGTTATTTTAACAGAGAATATATACTGAGAATGGGTATCGAGAGGGAGATATAAGTACAAACAAAAATCATATAAAAGGGTTAAAACAAGTCACGCTAAGATATAAAATCTGCAGGAATACCGGAATATTCCCATTAATTAAAAAAATAGGGTATAAATGCGCATATACTACCGGCTGACCGGCTATTAATGGTATATTTTCACAATGAGACGGTATATTTCTGAGGGTCAAGAGGTATACATTATGGACAAATCCACGGTCACACTGGCTTAAATTTATAAAAATACATATTGTTAATGTTAATTAAATCCGCTGTGCAGTTAAGGAATTAAGTTGAGCTCCGATTGGAGCCACGTGTCGCACCAACGAGTCGACGCCCCCTAGGAAAGAAACGCTTAGCGGTGACCGGTGGCAGCCAGGAAAAAATTGACATGAAGAAGAAACTCAAATTAACAACAAAAACGACTGAGAACATGTGCAACGTAGCATGCAGTAATGGGGAAGACTACTTGCAGGCAAGTAGTAGTGGTAGGGCTGGATGCAGAGGAGTGCAGCCCCTGCAGTCGGTCATTGTGCTGCTTTTGCTCATTGGCAGCTGCTGCTGCCTCAGCACGGCCTCCGCCGATCCCCTGAAGGTTGTGTACGCCGTGAATGCCGGCGGTGAGGAGCACACGGACCGCAATGGCATTACTTACGAGGCGGATCCGCTCAAGAATGTGGGCATTGCCTCGGACTACGGCAAGCACCTGCTAATGATTGGGCGCACGCACGAGCATGATGAGATGCTGTATCGCACGGAGCGCTACCACACGACGACCTTTGGCTATGACTTTCCCACCGATGGCGACGGTGATTATGCGCTGATAATGAAGTTCTGCGAGGTGTACTTCGATGCCCCCGGCCGCAAGGTGTTCGATGTGCTGCTCAATCGCAAGCACACGGTCATTCGACAGCTGGACATCTACGAGCAGGTCGGCCGAGGGTCCGCCCACGATGAGATTGTTTACTTCAAGATAAACAACGGGCGACTGCACTACTTGGGCGAGGTATCGGATGTGCGGAATGGCCAGCTGCGGCTGGACTTTATCAAGGGGGCCCTGGACAATCCCAAGATCAATGCGTTTGCCCTGCTCAAAGGCGACATCAGTCAGATTCCCACATCGGAGGCCAGCACAAGGATAGGTCCGGAGAAGCCCAATCAGCAGGGACAGCAGGAGCGTGTGGTGCGCACTCAACGCGACGACATAGACGAGGACGATGAGGATCTGGACGACCTGGATGAGCTGGAGGAGGAGATGCCCGAGCAGCATGCACCTCCACCACCGC